AAAAAAAAAAAAGATTTCTTGCCTCAATTCATTTTTATAGCTGGACTAGACTAGACTGTCACTTTATGGATTTTATGTGACTATTTATTCATTTTTGCATTGATCTGCTTATAAAAATAGAATTAAAACATGAGCAAAACAAATGCATTCTGTATTTCTAAAATCCACCTGCAGGTTCATTTGAAATGAAGGATGGACTGGATTTCTCCTGTTGTGGACCTCAGAGTTCCAGACACGTATTCATCATCTACGACTCGTACGCCAACAGGAGTCATTACTGATCCAGGACTCATCCTTTTTTTTTTTTTTATAATTGTTTCTATGTTGTGTTTCCACTAATCATGAATTTATCAGTAACAATTTTAAAGCCTATGATTCCCAAAAAACCTAAGAACACACTTGGTATTTTTAGTCTGTACCTAGAAATCATCTCAATCACTGTCTTCATTAATAATCTTGTTTTCTTATATACTTAATCACTAGGATGTTTTTTACCAACCCTACACTTTAATTTAAGTCCCTGAACTTTAATTAACCCTCTTTGGGTATACTTCACACTTTTCAACCATAGACTGAGTGGCCATAAGCAAATTACCTAAATAGCTGTGACCATGGGAGAAGCCTCCAGTTTCCAGTCGATTCACCCTAGGGTCATAAAACAGCACAATCACACACATCAAAATTGTATGACTGCTTAATCTTTCTCTTACATTTATTCATTCATTTTTCTTAATACATACTTTTCTTAACAAAAACAACTCAAAACTAATCAGAGCAACACAACTGAGAGGTAAAGCCTCAGACTTCTTCTCCTGAAAAGGAATGCAGCGACTCAGAGCAATGATATTCACTATTATTTCTCACTACCTACAGGTGACAGGCCTGAGAGGAAGCTCCCAAAATTTACTCAGTTATGAACATCAGTATTCATAGATGTGGCAAGTGTTGACGCCAGCTCAGTCAGGGCCTTCATTTGGAGGAGAGCAAATAATGCAGATAATAGGATAGTGAGACACTGCTTCCACTATTAAATGCCTTTCAGATTCCATTTTGTTACTCATTTAAATGTTTACCATTTTGCACTGTGATTTATTTTCTTTTTCCGTTAAGCAGATGAACACAGGAACTCAAGCATTCAGTGTTATTCAGTCTCACTGCCCTGTCCACTGAGACGTATCCAGAAATGCAAGCTCTTTGATCGGTGTTTACTTAGTGAACTCCAGTGGTTCCAAGTTATAGTAATAAAAATTCTTGCCTTGCCACATATTTTCACGCTCGGATAGGCTTCAGTCTCTTCATCTTTATACACTGCTGTATTTATTTATTCTTTCATTTATTGACTTCTAATAATAAAATCAAAATCTATGAAGCACCAAGGACTGAAAATGTGATCCTTTAATATCATCAAAATCTGTCTACAGGCTCATTTCCACAGAGGCAAACACACAAATCCCTGTTTGGAATGGACCTTGGTGGGTCGTGGTGCTTTGCTCATAAAACATTGGTTCAGAATGCAAAGGGTGCATTTCACACTGCTGTTCCTTCCTTGGCCTTTTCCCATAGAATCTGTATATTCTTTCTATGTGGAACAGGAAACACCATAAAACTCCAACACTGAGAAGTCCTTACATCTCTGACAAGCTCCTTGTGCATCATACAAATAGCTTAAATCCCAACCCTTAAAGAACATTTAGGACAGATATAAAAGAGAATTTTAAAGACCTTTAAAGATTAGTGACACAGACTTCAGACGTGATCTGTCAAAAAATTATCCAAATGCAGAATCTTATTCATCAGAAACTTTTTCCCTTGTATTTAATGGGCTTGCCTTTTGTTTGATATTGTTCATGTATATTGTCACCGGTTTTTTGATGTAGGTACAGGGAAGAACTTTAAAAACTCACATTAAGGATAAGGAATTTTATGGGTACATTGGTCTCTAAACTCTTAAATGTAGAAGTAAATCAAAGAGCTTGGTCTTTTGGGGTATATCTATTGTGTGCCATACAAAATTAATCAAAAATGAGATATTTTCTCCATGGCACCACAATTTTCTCCTCTGATGCACTTAATTTTTAAATAATTGTTCAATAGTGTATGTAGTACTTTCTCCTAACAAAATACACATCTTAGAATTCATGACTTACCTGGGACAAGGACCTTAGCCATCCCCCAGAGCTGCCTGTATCAGTGATTCTCCACCCAAGCCAAGGAAAGAACTTTCATACTGCTTACAGTTGATAAAGTTTAGCCCAATCACAGTGAGCATGGGATCTCATGCTATCCCCCTTTCATTTATTTAGACCCTTAAGTATTTGTAAGACAGTGTCATGATTATCTTCCTTATCTAATTTAAACAAAAAACTCCAGACATACTCAGCTACCTCATCATTGACAAAGGAGCCAACCATCCTCACTGGAAGAAAGACAACCTCTTTAATAAATGGCATTGGAAAAATTAGATTTCAACCTACTAAAAATTAAAATTAGACCCCTAGCTTTCAACATTCACTGAACTAAAATCAAAGTGGATTAAACATCTAAACTTTAAAACAGAAACACTAAACTTGCTGGAAGATAAGTTAGGCAGAATTCTCAAAGACATTGGCATAGAAGACTTTAAGAACAAATCCTCAGTAGCTTGGGAACTGGCACAAAGAATCAGCAACTGGGATCTCATCTTTTAAAAAAGCTTCTGCACAGCAAGAGAAACCACCAACAGAGCTAAAAGACAACTTAAATGTGGGGAAAAAATTTAACCAGCTACTCTTCAGACAAAGGTCTATTATCTAAAATATATAAAGAACTCAAAAAAAAAAATCAGACCCCTCCCAAATATAAAAACTACAGTCAGAAATGGGCATCTGAAATTTAAGCAAAAAATTGGAAAATATCAGTGTATTCATCACTTTTCCATCTCTGGGACAAAAACACCTGATGTCCACAGTTTAAAGGAGGAAAGATTTATCTTAGCTCATGGTTTTCAGAGGATTCAGTCCATGGTTCAACGGCTCCAAGGCAGAGACACCATGGCAGAAGGTGACAGAGGAGGAAACAACTCAAGCTATGACAGGCAGGAAGCAGAGAACACACCCTTCTGTGTGAGGCCCCCAGGATTGGCCTTCTCCAATCAGTGGACAGATAAATCCACTCAAGAGCACAGCGCCTGTGAATCAACCACCTAGCTAAAGGCCCACCTCTGAACTCTTGAGACTTCTGGGAGATGTTTTAGATGCAAACCATAAAGTGACGAATGTAAATCAAGAGCCTTGCCGGGCATGCTGGCACACACCTGTAATCCCAGCACTGGGGAGGCTGAGGCAGGAGGATCACTGAGTTCCAGACCAGCCTGAGCTACACAGTGAATTCCAGGTCAGTCTCAACTACATAGTGAGACCCTGTCTCAAAAAAACAAACAAACAAAAAAATCAACATCCTTGACTATTGTGAACATAATTCTGAATCATCTTTCAGATGCCGTATTTATTTTTCAAATGGACACCCAGTTTTCCAATTCTATCAACAAAATTTCCTGTCATTCTGTATTTTGATAATAAGTCCAGTTGTACCCTTTTCTTCTTTATTCATTTATATATTTGTTTGCCATTGTTAGTGATTCATTATAATGTTGGAATCATTATGCAGCAACCCACCCAAGGCCCAGTCATATCTTGGATTATTACTGATTTATAAATAGGGGCTCATTCCCACTGATTCAGCACACCAAGTCTCGTTTTTAAATGGGTCACAAGGGTACAAAAGTAAATTGATTACAAGACAGATTCAGAATTATTTCATTCTTACTGATTTGCGCCCAGCCCTTTTTCATGTGAACGTTGCATTCAGTATCTAAAATGCTAACGTGACCCATGGAGATGACACTGCATGGAAGCTGGAAAGGGTAATGTCACAGGAGAAGAGGCTGGAACATTCAACATCCAGGGAGGCTGTAAGTTCAGCCAAGCAGAGGTGGGTTTAATAACAGGTACCAAAGTCTAGTTAGACCGGAAGAGTAAGTTCTAGTGTCCTGTATCATTCTCAAGGTGACTACTATATAAGCAACTTATTATTTTATAGAGCACTAGAAAAGAGAAGTTTGTTAATTCCCCTCCCAAATTACTAGGTTTTAAAGAGATGGAAATACTAACCACCCTGATTTGATCGTTCTCAAGTTTTAAACATGTATTCAATTATCACACTCCATGCACGATTATCATGTAGAGAAAACTTGAAATAGCTAAGCCTTAGATAAAATCCGTAGATCTTTATAAATCAAGAAATGCTGTGTAACCAGGGAAGAAAACTAAATGGGAATAATGCACAGCTATGAAACTGAATGGGAGACTTTAATCTCTTTTTAAACTGGACCCTATTGTACTATAGTAGGTTAATTCCTAATTCCTGCCTTAAAACACAAACGAGGGACTTGTCTATGCTCAAGTTGCTTTCACATCCTTATTTATGATTTGATTCAGATATTCATATAACTATTTCTAATTTACTAAAAGACAAAGCAGATGCAAACTCAAAAACACCTGAAATAAAGACCCTGCACATGTACACAGCTGAGTACATCTTTTTTGCGGATGTGAGTCACAGGGCTGGTCTATTTTTAGTTGTGGACAACGTTTGAGTCATGCAGTAATAATTCTTGTTCCAAAAAATATGGTCATAAAGAGATCATCCTTTAACTAGTTTTTATATATTCATCATGATATTTAAGTTTAATGGCTCATTTATAATAAAATTAATACTCAAGCCCAACCCAGGAAAATCCAAAGTGAGTGTTTTAAATATTTCTATTATCTGTCAAACGGCTAATTTCCAAGAGAGGTGATAGACTACTTTTTCTTTTGTACTGGACTATAAAAACGGATAGAGATATAATGAGGATAGCTCAGTGGAGATGTGATTTACTTCCCAGAAAAGACATCCCAGACATCCCAGTCCATTCTTGGTTCTATTTTTCTTCACTTATTCAAAATTTGTTTAGTTATTCGTGTATCACTTAACTTATGAAAAGACAATCAATGTCATGAAACAACAAGAAAATATGCAGTGTATATGTACACAATTCCGTTTACATCATCAGTCCCTGTGTGATCCGTTCTTATTTAAATTGTACATCCAATTAAGGTGTATCCATAAACAAGAAGAATGTACTGCTCTGCCCTACTGTGGTACTAACAGTAATTTATTTCTTCCCCATACAATTAACAGACTAGGCCATTTAACACAACAGGATATTTATGCAAACTGTGAAAATTGCTAAAGTGAGATATTACTACCTTATGAAATGACTAAATAGCATCAATATAGTTGGATAATTCTAATCCTTAGTATATAAAAAATTCTTAACTTCTATGTTCTTGAATGTTATTTAGGTAAATGGCGATTTATGCGCCTTTTTCAGGACTGTGAACATGATGAACCAGACACACTCAACCCAGAACCACATTTTGTAGCATCTCCATAAAGAAGCCTGCACATGTCTTACCCAACAGAAAATACTCCCAGTGTTACAGGATGATCAGGTAGCCGTGGGCATCACCTCTGCAAAGTACCAAGTCAATATGAAAGAGAATAGAACAGCAAGATTTAGGTTCTGTTTCTTTGAATATGAAAAGAACATGATTAGAGTCATTATGAACATTGGGTCATGAAAAGTTCTATGCTTAGGGCTAACACTTCTGTGATTTAATGAATTACTTAAATTATTAATTTTACATCAAGTAGTGAACATTCCTGATTACATTGCCTTCATCAAGAGAAACAGCTAACTACAGGTGGGCCTCGTGGCTTCTCTCTACTGAAACAACGTTCGTGTTCTCTGCAAGTAGACGTCATCTCACAAAACTAGATGCATCACATCTGGTTTCATGACACAGTCGTGTGAGTGGTCAGTCATGACCTTATTTATTAACTCATTCATTATTAGTGTGAATGGATGAGCTAATAATTCATCAGCAAATGAGCTAATCTGCCCAACCACCCATGCTCTTTGAAGAAATTGAACATATTTACATTCTCTGACTGCAACTGAACTAAATATTTATAATCTCATAAATACAGAATAGAAATGCTGTTTTTTAATATCTGCCTACATGATACTGATAAAACTAGTAAATCCAAGAATTTTCCTTCTAAATAATGGTAACATTATAATTGACAGTAAGTCCATTTTGGTTCTATTTTTCTTCACTTACTCAAAATTTGTTTAGTTATCTTTGCATCACTTAACTTATGAAAAGACAATCAATGTCACGAAACAACAAAAAAAAATATGTAATGTATCAATTCTAAGGAAGGGAAAAGTAAACTATTTCTTTTCACCTGGGGCCTTAAATTCCTGGGCTGGGGGTGTCACTGGATGGCACAGGGCTTGCAAGCATTCTGCACTGGGTTCAATACCGAGCACTGAAAAAAACAATTCAAACATGAATATTCATTGTCTCTTAAACCACCGTCTTCAACACAGGTCCTGATTTGGCTCCTTCGTGCTGCATTTGTGTCTACATTTGTGGATTGTTTAAGTCATCAATTCACTCATAAGAATAAATAACTATCCAAGACTCACAAAACCCAAGCAAAGGATTTCAGTATTCACACATCTGTTGATTAAATTATTCCCCGCAGGAACTACGTTTCTTTTCTAATTGACCTCTGTGTTTCATATATAAATTAGCCAACACAAATTATATATGAATCCAATTTTTAAGATTGTCCCATGGTCGACCATCGCTGGTTATTTTCAAAGTTTAAAATAAAGAAGGATAATCTCGAGTCATATATAAGAGAATGGATGTACCTTCGGATCATAACGGTAAGTGAAATACATGAGACACACAAGCTTCAGTGTCACATGGCTTCTCTTCTAGGAGAAACCCAATTATAAATAAATTAAAGAGCAAAATAAAAGACAGATAATAGGAAGCAGAGAGATAGATCTTTTTGCACAAGGGAAAAGACCAAAAGGTGGAGGGAAGTGGGGATGGAGGATAGGGAAGAGGATGTAAAAGGAATTAAGATGTGGTATGCACACGTGCTAGCTCCCCACAATGGACAAAATCATTATGTACTAAAATATGTACGATTAGAATGAATGAAACGTTTAGAAGTTAGAATAATCAGTGATACCTCTTTTTTTGGTTTGTTTCTGGTATGGGGAATCGAACCCAGGACCTCTCAACTGAGCTGTGTTCCCAGCCTGTTTTTACTTTGACAGGGTCTCACTTGGGGCACTCAGTTAGCCCGGGTGAGGCTTGTACTTGGAAACCTCCTGACTCAGCCTCCCAGAATGCTGGGATTATATTAGTGAGCCATCACTCCCAGCACATACCTTAAAAAAAATTCAAACCACAATAAGAACTTTAACTGTTACCCACATTGGTCTCTACTCTCCGTATGTAAAGGCAGTCATACGCCCTGCAACATGAAAGGATCCATAAACCAATGCCACTGCAGACCCTCTAAGGAGAAGCCAAGCAGAACTGCTGGCTTAAAATATTGGCAACTTCACTGTATTCATCTTTACCTCCCAGGTCTCATTTATCTTGTCACTTACATATTCACTGTTTTTATCTAAAATATGCTTTGCTTAACAAAACGACTTGCAAAACAACTGACCCAGAGTGAGACAATTGACTCTTACTAGCCAGAGGGAACACCCTTGATCTTATGTTTATTTATACTGCCATTGCTATTTTAATAATATCTTTTTCAAAATTCATTAACACAAGACCAAAAAAGGGTCCTTCTATTTCCCTGAACTCTGTCTATAGAATCCCTTCAAATGGGGGACTAGGTGGCCCCTGGGAAGGACCTCAGGTCCAGACAAGGACCCATCATCTCCTACGCCACCAGAAGATATTCCTCTTCTTCCCTATCTTTATTTCTATAGTCTGTATTAATGACTGTCCATTTGCTAATAATAATACATCTATAAAACTCAAAGATAAAACCCTTCAGTGTCTCTATTATCCTGCTATAAAATCACTTTCGTCCTATCCCTTCTCCATGGGTTCAAATATCGACTAACCCACCTAATAATTCATGTGGTTTTCATACTGACTTTTGGAACGTGGTTGGCTTTCTCTGATTATATTTGATAGCTTTTCAACATTATATGGAAGGTCCTCAGCAAACACCTCAAACCAGAGCAGAGTTTGACGCTTGCTCACACGGGTCTGCAGGCAGCCTGACATATAAGCAGACTGTGTGTTCCCAATGACAGGAAGTAGTCAGAGAGTGAAGACTCAGCAACTCCGAGAAGCTCAAAGCAGGACCAAAGGTAACAAAGTGGAGATGTTCTTCATAGTTCGGTCCATTTGACTATTCACTTAGTCATTTAAGTATACATGAATGTAGGTAGTACTTACTAATTTTCTGTTAAAAGGACAATAGTGTTCTTGCTCTGAAGCAGAATAAGACCTGACTGCATTGTTTGTATCAAAGAATTTTAATCAATGAATTAAAACACAGGAAATGGAATTCCGTGTTTTCTCTACACCTTTTCAGATTTTATCACCCTCCACAAATAGTAAGAGTGGACAGGCTTCACACGTGATAAAAGAGCAAAGATTCGTAAATAAATACCCATCCAGTAAAATCATGTTGGATGCATCCATTCTACAGACTACAAACCAAAGCAGATGATTCAGGCAAAAACTAAGACAGTGTCTGTGGAGCTTCTTTTCCACATTTCCTTCACTTGATCATGGAGGTATTTATTAATAGTTTATAATGGAGTGTTTTTCTCGTAACAAAAGAAGCAGCCTTGCACTTGAGAGACAGACCCAGAAAATGAAAATCACTCTTACTAATTAGAATCCATGTGATAAGTGCCCAAAGAAGTGATACCCATGATGCATTTCTTTCTCTTTTTTATCCACTTCTGATCTATTACTGGCCTCTGTCTTTGTGACCCTGCACATGGGGTCCACTACAGAGAGCACAGGGCTTCAGTCTGGTGCGTGGTCCACTCTGGAGAAAAGAGACCAGATGGCAATGTGATTCACATATTTGTCTATCAACCTCTGCTTCTACAAGTCATTATTCAATTATTTAGGTATATTGAATTTGGTTTAATACAGATTTCATATTCCATTAAGAAAGTAAGATAATATTGAACTTCCTAGGTCCGGGGATTTAGCTCAGTGGTTCTACCACCTGCCTCACAAGCACAAGGACCCAAGTTTAATTCCCCGGTATCAAAAAAAAAAAGAATTAATTGAACATCCTTAATTAGCCAAGAAAAAGAATATTGAGCATTATTTATATTATCTATATAATCGGCTGGGCATATTTTTCTTTGTGAATTCTTATCTTTTTTTTTTTTCTTTTTCTTTTTGCAATGAGATAGGGTCTCACCAAGCTGCCGAAGCTGACCTCCAGAAGTCCTACAGTCTCAGCTTTCCAAGTGGCTGGGAATATAGGCCGATACCACCATACCCAACTTATTTCTTTCCCAGTTAATCAGTAAACAAATAATAGTAAATATTTATCACTGAAAAATACTTATGAACATAACATTGAAAGGCCTAGAGAACAAGATTCTAAAGTATCCTTAACATCCATCTGTACAGTATTTGCCTGATCAGTGTTTCAACATATTTCATACGCGCACCATGTTTATCACTGGGTTACCAATGGCTTTTTCGTCGATTATTCTTACTTTAAAAAATGTTACAGTGAATAAACCAAACAAACCATCCAAGTATGATGAGAACATCGACTATCACTCACACTGGTCCTCTAGCTCAGACCCCTGCGGTCAGTGATCACCGGCATGAGTCCAGAAGCTTGCTCAAAGGGGCCTGGGTGCTTGCTCTGAGAAGCAGAACAAATAACAAAAATGACACATTATCTCCATGTCAGTTTTCACTTAGTTAACCACTTAGGTCTTAATTATTTGGGCTTCTTATGTATTAAATTTTCTTTAAGAAGACTAATAATACCATGCTGACCCTAACACAGAACATGTATATTAACTCTACATCTTCCTTATCCAAGGTGATAAACCCTTAACCATGTATTTCTTTTTCTAATTATTTTTGTCAGAACATGTCTGCAGTGCATAATGATTACATTTATTGTGAGGAGTTTGTATGTGTATTTCTTCATAGATAGAATACATTATTTTCAATATGTATTATTAGTTTCTCTGATCTTAGCACATGATTTCCATAATTAGAAAACATTAACTATTCATATTATTTACTGTTTGCTTGTTGATTCGCTCACTGATCTATTAATAATGAAATCAAAATCCATGAACATAAAACCACAGCTATAACTCCCCTGGGTTACTAACATTTATCTGGAGAGTCGTCCAGAGTGGCCGGAGACAGGTGTTGGTATTGTATTTGACCTCAGGCTTCCAGACACCCACTGCTCATGATGCCTATGTCCCAGGTGTAACCAGGGACAGGGTTGAACCTCTTTTTCATCTTTTGTATTAGCATATACTGGTTATACAGATGAATGGGTCACATTTTGGCATATTCACACATGCACACGACATACTTGGGTCATTTGTACTCCCATCATCCTCTTGCCACAAGTTCACCCCTAGTTTCATACTTTGAAAGGCTCAATGCATATATTTTGATCAAATCTAGCACCTCATAACCCAGAAGTGATATTTTGAAGCCATATCTTCTTAATTAACTTCAGTATTTCTAATTTGTATTGATACATGCTTTCACTTCATGAAATATTTTCTCGATTGGCTAATGGTTTACCTCTTGATATTTATTTATTTATTTATTTATGTTTGTTTATTGATTCATTTCTAATTCTAACATAAGTAACTACGATAATGGAATGAAAATCGATGAGCACAAAAACAAATACCACAACCCTCATGTATTTTTCATCATCTTGTTGTATGATCATGTTCAAGAGAGGGAGTATATAGATTTTCTGTTGTACTGGACCTGTATCAGATATGGTTTTCATCATCTGTAATACATCAGCAGTGATGATTGATCATCATGATTAGTCCAGGCTTAGGCTTCATACAATATTTCATATAATTGTACATTTACCATTTATTTACCAAACACATCATATGAATACATGGAATGTCTTCTAAGAAAGCATTCAACAAGCAGAATGTTAACTGTTACTCACATTTGTACCCATGCACCTACCAATGCAGGCAACTGCAGAGCCCCTCACAGGGGAATCCGTGAATCAGCCTGAGTGAGCCCATTCTGAGAAGTAGAGAACACAACCAATGATACAAGACTGAGATACTCTCCCCACTGATCAATCATTCTATAGTTCAATTAGTTCATTAATCATTTAGGCTTCAATTTGGAGTAATACATATTTTACTTTCTCTTAAACACAAAATTGACTTTTCTACTAACAGAATAAGAGTACTGATTTTTAGTTGTATCATCTCTATAATCATTAGAGATAAGATATTGAAATCACTTATTTTTTACAGAAATAGTGTTTTCAATAAATACAAATAGCCGCTCTTACTGTTCTACAGATTTTAATAATAATTGATGCATTTATTCATATTTAATTCTATCTTAGGTCCATTTTCAATATAATCAAAATCCATTAATAAAAACAATAAGAACTTGCCAGGGATTTGACTCAGTGGTGCTGCTGCCTGCTTCCAAGGGCAAGGTCCGAGTTCGATTCCCAGTAAAACAAAAGAACACTCAACAAAAAACAGTAAGACCTTATGCTTTGTACACTCCTATATCTTTGGGGGACCACTTTCAGAGAAGACTTAAACTAGACTGCCTATGGTGTGGACCTCAGATTCCACAGATTAGTCACCATCTATGACTCATACTCCACCAACGGTCATCATTGATCCAAGACAGGTACCCTGATCAATCTTCATTGATTTCTGTATTTGTTTACTAGCTATTGAAGACAATATTAAGTGGTTGACAATAGCCACAAACAATAACATAATTTAAATGTAATTTATACCTTTTGCCTTAAGATTTTTTGGCATACTGATTATATCACTTATTAAGTTTCACAAAGAAAGTGATATAGTCTGTTTTGCAAATATTAATTTATCAATCTAGCGTTTCATGGCCATGCCACATTTATCTTTTAGTTTTGTGAGTAAACCAGGATTATAGGTAACAATTTTTTTACCAAATGGAGAATCCCTTTTTAAAATCATCTAACAAAAGATAAGAACCCTGGCTATACTCACATTAGTTCCTGTAATCCTGACACATACAGGGAACCACAGATTCCAGATCAAGGAAAGTATGTTTCAGCAAACTTCAGAGCATCCATTCTGAGGGCATGAAACAGCACAGATTACAGAAGGCTGATAATTATCCATGCATTCATCTCTTCATTTCATTGGTAGGTTAAATAGGAGTTAAATTACTATGATTTTTCTTTCTTTGAGAAAACAAACATTGAAATTCATGCTCTGACACTAACAAGAACATAGGCCAGTAGTTTTATTTTATTTCACATCCTCTGAGAAGGGAGTAACACATTTGAGCATTTTATTTCTACTGGTCTTCTGTCCTTAAAATATACATATAATTTATTTTTGTTTACCATATATTTTATTTCCATTTTGCTTGCTTGCTTGCTTGCTTGCTTGCTTTCTTTCTTTCTTTCTTTCTTTCTTTCTTTCTTTCTTTCTTTTGTGCCAGGAATTGAACTCAGGACCTTGTGCTTGTGAGGCAGGTGGCGGAACCACTGAGCTAAATCCCCGGCCCTACCATATATTTTAATAAGTAGTTAATGTCTCACATTCATCTCTCTGTTTATATAGATGATAGATAGATAGTAAAAGTGCATATGCTCCAGCAGCTCGCCATACTAATAAATGTCTGGAAGCTCATGGCCTCCACTCTGAGAACCTGTTGTACTTGTAGAGGCCAAATATAACATATATTAATCTCATGATGTGTCAATAAATTTATTATTAGGATATATATACAAGGTCTTTTTCTTGATATACATTTTTTGGCTGATTCTGAATGTGTGTTTTGGGGGTTTCTTTCTTTGATCCAACTACTATGATGTATTAACTGCATAAACACAAAGATGAAGAATATCCTTGACTATTCCTAACCTCTGTCTGTGCTGTCAAAAAGCACACAGTAGGTGCCTTACTGAGGTGTGGACTTCAGTCACCATCTATGAATCATACACCACCAGTGGTAATCACTGATCCAAGACTGGGCTCCTCCATTAAAATTCTACATTAGCCTATTCCAAAAAAAGTTAAAAAATAAGATCCTGAGGTAAAAGTTATAGCTATCAACAGGATTTTTAACCAGACTGAGTACAGTTTTGCCTACTCCTAATTTTGCAAATATTGCTTAATCGAGAAAGTGTTGCCTAGCCATTTCAATTTTTCTTTGGACCATTCTTGATGCTCCTGGATTCATGTAATACTTTTATCAACAAAATGAACAGTCTTTAAAAACTACCCACACAAACACAAAAACTTTAACTATACTCACATTGACTTCTTTCCTCCTAATGCAGAAAACTAAGAAAAATAAAATGTTTACATCAGTTTGGCAACATTCATTCTAAGAGTACAAAGGGAAACACATATAAAAAACACAACCATTATCTTTCCATCTATCATTCATTAGTCATTGAAGCACTAGTGAAACTGTGATGACATTTTTTTTTCTTAAGAAAGCAAACATCGCTGAACTTGGCCCCAACAAGTGCTTAAGGACTAAGCCAACTAGAAAAGTTGGTAAAGACTTCATGAACACACAAAGACTAAACCATACTTGACTATTACTAACACCTATCCATAGGGTCACAAGGTCCACACTCGATGTCTTATGTACACATCAGACTTCCAAACTTATAGTCACCGCATCTTTGACTCATACACACCAAAGGTTACTGCTGATCCAAAACTGGTCCACCTTTTCTCCATTAATTTCTATGTTTGTTCACAGACTATTTCATTCACTATCAGATAACTAGAAATCACAAAAAAATTAGGAACAAGATCCATAGGTACCCTGAAAACTACCTGCAGGTCACATTTGCATATCTTTTATCTTACTCTTTATGAATATTGATTAATTGTAACAATATATTTTTAAGATAAAAACACTAATCACTTGGAACCTGACTTATAAGGACTTACAGCATCATTTTCACTATATTGCCATCATCTATCAAGGGTGTTACAACTTTGTTATTGATGAATAAACTTCCATTCTAATGGTATTTCTTCCCACAACTTTATTTTCATAATTGGCCAATGCTTTCCTATTTATTGATACATCTGATCCAATTACAAAAATAGAGTGAAAGTTTATGAACACAAAAACCAAGAATATCCTTGAATATTCCCAACATCTACACCGAGCGTCTGAAGGTACATCACATGGTCTCCTCTTCCCTACCATGCTCTACTATTCATTTATCAAGTGAATTTATAACCAGGAATCACAAAATGTTAAAGACAAATCTTGAAGTACACGTTATAGATATCTGTAGGATCTTTTCCAAACCTGATTATATCATTCCCTGCTGCTGAATTTTCAACAATGTGTTTCATGGTCATTTAGTATTTCTCCTTGAGCCATAGCTGAAACTTTGCATTATACATAACAGTTTTCACAACTACTGTGAATACCCTTGAAAATCCACTCAAACAAAGTTGAGAACTTGAATATACTCACACTATGCTCCTAATATGGCAGTAACTGCAGCCCTCAAGATCAGGAAAAAAGGCCTATGTCAGCTTGGAGGCATCCATTCTAAAAGTACTGAGCAGAACAGGTCATAATAAGATTGATATTGCATCCATTTATTCTTGCACTGCTCCTTGTACTACTCATTTTGGTGTGTATCTAATTATGTTCTTTCATTCTTAAGAAACAGTCGGTTTATTCCTGACCTGAGCAAGGATTTAAGCCCCATTTAAAAACCACTCACACTAAGGCTAGAACTTTGACAGTACTCACACTGATCTGCATGTTCCTCACACACCAGCAGAAAAAGAGATCCTGTAATCAAGGAGGAAAGCGATGATCAGCTGGGAGAACCACGCTCTGTACCAGGTACAAGAGATTACAAGAAGACTGATACCATGCCCACTTAATCTTGCCTTCCTCCATTAATTTTATTGATCATTTAGGTAAGAGTTAAATTATGTGGGTATTTCTTAAGAAAGTGAACATCAAAGCCATTGTTTCAGCTTTATCTGCCATCCTTAGCCAGAATCACAACAAGCTTTAAATTTTTTCTCTCTTAAGGGACTTTAATGCTTTAAGTGCAAAAAGAATGCATGTGTGGACATTATAAATTCTCACCACTGGGCGATGCTTCACACTCTGTCTTACTTTATTACTGTGTAATGGTTATTTCACGGATTCCATTACAAAAGCAAACTGAACCCTCGGAAGCACACAGGTCATCCTGGAGCACCCCTGAATTTGCCTAACAGGGGCCCTGAAGGTCACAAGGCACACACTAGTGTCCTTGCGGGTGGGACCTCAGACATTGAGTGGAGTCATCATCCGGGTTGGCCCTACTCTACTAACTTCTACCTGAACTTACGGACTATGAGCTTCATTAATAATTTGTATAAAGGAACTATCCCCAGCTATATAAAAAGGCTGCCTCCAGGGTGTGTTTGTGGACGCTTTGTCAAAAATCAGATGGCTGAATGTGCATGGAGTTATTTCTTTTAACTGCTCTTCCATTTTATTGGTCCATGTGTCTATTTTTGTGCTATCGTCATGCTTTTTTGATATAACATTCTTATATCCATTTTATTTTTCTTGCCTGATTGCTCTGACTAAATTTTAACTAATAAAAATTCTTAAAAATTAAAAACTAATCACAAAAAAGTTAACAGTATCATTATGTACACTTTATCTACAGGATCTTGTCCTATATGCAGTACCTCATTCTAAAGCCTAAATTTTCCAAATATTGGCCCATGGTTGACATTCTTCTGTTGCTCATGAAGACTTTACCTATATGGTAAACACACTTTAAAAGCCACCCAAGCCAAGATCTCCGACCACACTCAGCTTGGTCTCCACGTTGAACCACAGACCACGTGACCCAGGAAGAGTGCCCAAATCCAATCTACAAGTACAGAGCAGAGGAGATTATAAAAAGATTGACATTTTCTCCATTCATTCTTGTGCTATTCCTCTCCTCTTATTACATATTTCAGTGTATAGCTAAGTGTGTCACTGTCTTCTTGGGAAAATACATATTGATTCTGTTTCTGAACTGAGTAAGAATTCAGGCCCATTATTAACCTGTATACAGCATCCTCAGAACACGATGCTTTTGCTGCATTTATTTCCCAAGGAATTTCTGTATTTTTCAAACATTGTATTAGTATTTCTTGCCGGGGAATTATTTTCTTATTGAAGCATGCCTCAACTACTTTATCTTTATTTACATTTTTATTTTTAAAAATTATAAATGTAAGATGAAAAGACAGAGAATAATATGCCTGACTATTCCCAATACATATCCTGGGGATACCAAGGTGAATCGTAGGTGCCTTGCAGTGTGGCCCTTAGACTTCCAGAGTTTCGTTACCACCTGTGACTCACACGCCACCAGGGGTCATCCTTGATCCAAGACTGGGCCTCCTCTTCCCCGTCAATTTCTACATTTCCCTGTCCACTAATTCAATATTTCACTGGTCATTTTGTGATAACTATAAATCACAATCTCCTAAGAACAAGAGTTTTAACTATACTCTCGAACTATATACAAGCTCTTTTGCCACAGTAAGTATAATCTCATTCTTCATTGTGCATATATTGCTTAGTTAACACCAAGTTTTACAGTCAGGTCACAATTATCATTAAACCATGATTGAAGTTGTTTTATTATACATAATGGCTTTCCCCAAACTTTGTCGATACTTACTTTGGTCTTCATGCTTCAACTCACAGACTTCATGTTCTGGGAAAGATGCATAATCAGCTCTGGATCATCATTCTGGAAGTACAAAGCAGAAAATATTGTAAAGATTCAAGTTCTGTCTGTTCACCCTCAATTCTCAATCCCTCCATACATTTCACTAGTCATTAAGGAAGAAAGACATTGTGGTGACTTTTTTTCTTAATAAGTAACACTGGACAAAAAAAAGGACTTAGCTGTTAAAATTTATTGTCCATGACATGTTCAACCAAACTAGTAATATTTTGATGTTTATTTCATTGCAGACTTTAGTGGGGGCATTTCTTTACCATATTAGAATTTGTTGGTATTTATTTTTTCATAACTGGTCAATACTTTGGACATTTAAATATAAATATTTTATTATTTAAAAATCTGTGCAATGATATTTTCATTGATCCAATTTTTAAAAAACGAATGAGTCTTTCTGACGGAGACCCTCCTTGACTACTCCTAAGCTTTATCCCTAGGACCTGCAGTACACACTGCATACTGAGCCGGAACTCAGACCTTAGAGCTGTGGTCATCACGCGGGCCTCATCCGCCACTAGTGGTCATCATTGATCCAAGGCTGGCCCTCTTCATGCACTACTCATTGCACCCGCCATCACTACATAACTGGGAATCACAGAGACTGAAGAACACGATCTCTGGTACACTGTGAGCTGACTGCAGGATCTTTTGCCATAGCAATAGATCTGTGTTGATTAACTAACAGAGCACTTGATGGCCATTTTGTATCTCTCCTGTCACCATGTTGACACACTTAGATTACATGGAGGGCTTCTAGTACCACAATGAATGCTGTTCAAAACTGCCCACAGCACAATAACCCTTTCACTGTACTCACATGGGCCTTGGTTTTCCTGGGAGCCATGAGTGTCAGGCCCAGGATGAAGGCTCAAGCCAGCTGGGAACAGCCATGCTGAAAGTACAAAGAAGAACAAAATATTTTTTTAAAGGATATTTATCAATGCATCCTTGACTTTTATTTTATTAGTCATCTAAAAAGGCCTGAATTGTGACAATTATTTTTAAGAAAACACTGAACATGGCTGTGACCTTCTACTGTCTATGCCATCCTCTAGAAAAGGCTCAAATGTTAGCACCTCTGAATCATTCGCTTCGGGCTAGAATTCCGTATTTTCCATACATATTAACATTGCTTAGCATCCATTTATTTTCACAGGTGGGTGATGCTTCACATAATTTATCTTTATTTACATATTTATAGTATGATTCATTCACTGTTCTACTATAGAGTAGAAAATCATGAACACAAAGATCAAGGGTAAGATGCTCACTATTCTTAATAACTGAATAATTAAATAATTTGGTGCAATATTAACTTCTTTGTACATTTAGTATATCTATAATTTCGCAGAAACTATACAATGTTAATGTGTATCTGCATGTTTATTAGACACAGAAAACATCAGTTCACTCTGGTTTGGGGGTGGGGGTTGTTGCTGTTGTTGTTTTTTTTGTTTTGGTACTGGGGATCAAACTCAGGAACTTGCACTTGTGAGGCAGATAGCAACACCACTGAGCTGCATCCCCAGCCCTACTCCGTAGTTTTTAATTAAACTGAGGAGCTCAATTTAAACATAGTGAGGATTATTGGATTAAAACTGGTTATATGACATGTTCTTAACAGGTCTATATCTAAACCCTCTCTCAACTAGGTACCTATTTAATAAATAATATAAATAATCTGCTCTTTTCTTAATCAAACAACCAAATTCAGAACAGCAGCATAGATGCTAACATCTATTTACCTAAACGTTCCTTTCCCAAAAGTGCCACCTTTGACCAGTTTATGCTACTGGAAATCAGGTCTCCATAAATGTATTATTAGTAATGAGTCTTATTGCATTAAGTACTCTCATTGGAGGACCAAGAATAACCCATTTTATCTGTATTTATTTATAAATTTCTTGACTTATTTACAAACTGTTTCACTGAAAATAATAACAACAACGTATACTCAGAATCCCAAAAACACAATCTTCAACTCCCGGATTGAGCCCATTTCCCATCAAATAATAAATAGGCATCATTCTGTCATGGATCTCAGAGATAGGGTTTAATCAAAGTCCTTGATTCAGACACCCCAGGGTACTCATCATTGATCCAGATAAGCAGTCTTTTTCTTCATTTCTACCTTTGTTTATTGATCCACTCGTCACTTTGCTAGCAATAATAAAATCAATACTAATGAATTTTTAAAAACAAGCCAAGAATAATATCGCTGAACACACCGAGATCTGTGCCCAGGCCCTCTTCCCACTGAAAAGATCTCTCTCCACAGCCCAGATCTCTCTGTAGGGCTCCTCAGCACAGCCTAGAAGGGCCAATGAGCACCTCTGCTTTGTCACCCACCACCCCCTTGCATCTTTCCTCTCCTGTCTCCTTCCTAGCGCAGGAGTTACCTAGTAGCTGGTGACCGGCGTGAGGAGCAAAGGTGCTGAGAGCCGCCTTCTCCAGAACAGCCCCGCAGAGCCACAGGCAACTACTTCCCTACCCAGAGGGCGGCTTGTGCCACCGAGAGACTGAAGATAAAAATTCATTTAAATATAATTACCTTGAATATAAATAGCCATGTGTGGATGTGGCAAAGACTTGGACCTGGCAGCCCTAGATTTTATAACTGCATAAATTTTTAATTAAATGCAGTGTGAAAAGAAGACTAGTCTCTGATTTGAGAGTTTAACCACAATTATGCATAAGTGGGTAAGTCACAAACTTTGTTTCAGAGGACACTCACATCACTGGTCTATTTACAGCTTAATAGAAACAACTCAGTGAACACCAGTGAGAAATCCACCCTGAATGACAGGGGTCTCTGACTATGATTTACTTTGGCCACTGGGATCCTTACCCAAGAAGGCAACAGCCCAAATCTTCCTCCACAGAGCCTGGATCACATAACCATCATCTTCGTTCTGGCATCAAATACCAACTTTTAAAAGAACAAAAAGTACAGATTTAGATCACTTTAGAAGATACTAGCTGTGTGAGAGAGTAATCACACAGTTGATTCAACCCATTTTTCATTAGTGACCCAATAATAAGGCACTTTTATGTACTGATCTATTTATTAACTTTAAAAAAATCATAAACACTATTAAAGTCATCATTCAAAGCCAAGAATTATCACAGTCGCACACTACAGTTCCCTACCCACAGAGGCAAGAGCATGGACAATATTTTTTTTAATGGACTCAGTCTGTGAAGAAACAAGTGACTTTTCACGATGATGGCCTATTCTCACCAAAGGTCTGAATTTCACACTACTTACACTGTCGCTAGCTGTCCTCTTTCCTCATGGATAGAATGACTCTAGGGCTATCTGATCATACATTCAAATGTGTTAACACACAATAGCCAACCTAGGAACAACCCAAATGATTTCCATTTTCAAGTGTGTGCATTCCCATACCCAAACCATTAAGAGAACAGCATTCCTATGCTTGGATTTGTTTTTCTTGCTTTGTTTGCTTGTTCCTGTGGTACTGGGTATTGAACTCTGGACTTCCTGAACACTAGGCAAGTGATTTACCACTGAGTTACACCCCTGCCCCACCTCGCTTCTTCTGGGGGTGTGTTCTGCCTTATTTTTAAACACTTACCCATGATAAGGATGTATTGTATTCGAAAGAAATTGCTCACCAATTGAGAAATAACTAACAGTAGTAAAAACCTTGAACAATATTGTTATGTCCACATTGCCCACACAGATTTAAGAACCAGATGCATACGTTTGAGTACAACACATTAATATGTACAATTAACATGAGTTCATCCAGAAAATAAATTTAAAATCAGATGTTCTTTTTTAAATAAAACTATATTTGAATTATTAACTCTTTCCCTAGGAATAAACTCAAGATGAGCAACACTCTTTCTTTTTGTCAACTAAATAACTAATCTGTCATTTGTTTTACAATTTTCATCTAGTACAAACAACCAGCAAATACTGACTTACAGCAAGCTATGCTATTGAGACTTACGTCTAGATGTCATTCCTTTTAGAAAGAGGCAACTCCCCTTATCAACATAGGTCAGTGGGACTTGGCACTATGAATGTATAATAACAATCCACGCTTCAGCAACTTGTACATATCCAGTCTGTGAATACGGATGGCCCAGACACCTGAGTAATCTGAACACCTGCTACAAGCTCATTTCCACAGAGGAAACACAGAGGCCACTTTTTAAAATGGACCTCAGCGTTCCAGGTGGCTCTAATCAAAACGTTTTCTTTAGACACCCTCCAACTTCATCACTGGCCCAGATGCTGCACTTGTTTTCTTCATTCATTTAGCCTTCATTAATTCTACAGAGCAAGACCCTCAGTGCGACAGTACATCGCTGGCCTCAACACCCACCCAGAGCTCAGACATGGAAGCGTCGATGGTCACTTCCTACCATTCCTGTCAGCATGGATGCTCCATGACTGAGCCATGTCTTCAGAAGCTGCCATTTTCTACAGAGTATAATGAGCAATCTAAACCCACAATGGCACCCGACAACTGGAACCAAACTACACATGTGACCTTCAAAGAGAATTTTCTAAATAGTTGAAAGTCTGGATTGTTACCAATCTGGAAATGCTTAAGTCAACCATGTTGCGGAAATAACACAGAATATTGAAAACGGTTCTGGAAATTATCTAAATGTCTTTGATCTTTTTAAAAAAGGAATCTCAGTTCTGAAATGGGTTCCTACTGCTTCCTGGCCTATAACACATCTCTATGAGGTCCACGTGGAGTGCTCTTGGGTTTACTTTTTGTGTATAAAGTATTAGGTTCCATGACCACATATGAATCACAACAGAAATCTCAACTGTTACTAACATTGCTCCTTACCCACAAGAGTAACAGCCAAGATTTTCGCCACAGGAAAAAGACCAAATCCATCTTGGGGTGCTCGTTCTGGGGTGAAAGACAGAGTTTCAAAAGAAAAACTATAAGATGTCAATAGATTTTTAAGTAAAGGTTACAGCCACACACTAGATTGAACGCAAACATTGGTGTGTGTGGCACTCCCATCATCTGTCCTTTTCATGCACTGAAATACTCCATGTTTCATATGAAATAATAAAGTCTACATAAACGAATAACTAAGGATGATAAAGAACTCCTAATTCCTCTAGAAGCACATTTCCCACAAACACAAAGGACCTCAGAGTTACAGACTGGGTTTAATCAGAGTACTTGATTCAGATGCCCCACGCATACTCATGATTGATCCAGACTTGGTATTCTGTGCTTTCACCCGGGGATATTATTATTCATGGGTTCACTAATAACATCTGTGGAGTAGGGGAAAACAATCCTTGATCTGGACAGGTCACATTCCTGAAAACCAGGGGCCTCAGTATTGCAAATATGGATCAATCCATTTCCTTGGACCACATCTATCCATAGCTCTCAGTCACTGGTCCATGCTTGGGCCTCTTTTAGTTAATATCTATGTTTTAAAGATGATACGATGAATGACCACCTTATACCACCGCCAAGGAGAAACCCAGACTCTGCATTTTCTCATCTCCTCTCAGTGGATATAACAGCCAAGGGAGAAGTGTTTGAATTCACTATAGTATAAAAATAATCTTGTTAAAAATTCTCAGAATGGGGGCCCAGGATTGGCTCAGTGGCTCTGCCACTTGCCTCGCAAGCGTAAGGGCCTGAGTTCAATTCCTGGTACCAAAGGAAATAAATAAATAACTATAAAGTTTAAAAAAAATTCTCAGAATGGGCTAGGGATTTAGCTGAGTGGCACCACACCTGCCTCACAAACACAAGGTCAATATAAAAACAAAACAAAACAAAACAAAAAAAACTCAAAATGTCAGAGACCCCACTCATCTTTTTGTCTTAAGGAATTCAGTTGTGCTGAATTAGAGTAGTTGTAATTATTAACTCATGAAAAATTTCTATCATTGATCAATGCATGACCACTTTTGAACTTCTCCCTTTGAAATAAATAATTATGTGAATATTATGATCAAGGAAGAAAGAACACAAATTTTTATTCTTTCTTACATTGGTATCGTCTCTCCTTAAAAGATAAGATCTTGAAGATAATAATTAAAACAAGTAGGCTGTGTTCACTCTGAGAAGCAAAAAGCAAAGCCCAAATATACTAAAATAGTCTGATTTAGCTGTTAGGTAGCAATCAATTAGCCCATAAACTTTGGTTTGTGTTTTATTTTGAACCATCGGGAGAGAGCAGTACTTTATATTTATTAAGTTATGTAATTTGAAAGAGAGAACACTATATTTATTAACTTGTGTAATTTATCCCTTTATATAAATAACTAATACTGTGGAATTTAAAAACAAAGCAAATCACTATAGCTATTAGAGTCATCCATCTGTACTTTTTACATACAAGGTATGAGCAGTGTTATCATTCTGTCAGACTCTGGACAAAACTGGACATATGGGAGATTCATCACATATTACAATTGGCCAACGGCTCAAGTTTGACCCTTCTTACTGTATTTATTACATCTCTCAGTAACTGAGCATTTAATGAGATCACAGGGGATCATTTTTGTAAGCTTACATTCACCAAAACAAAATGGGTGCACTGAATTGGCAAAACTCCGTATGCACCACAGGAGAGGTCTAGGACTTGCTGCCTTCCTACAGATGTCATATCAGAATAATGTGACAAGGGCCAGGGATTTAGCTCAGTGGTGCCTCCACCTCCCTTTCAAGTACAAAGTCCTGGGTTTGATCCCCGGTATAAAAAAAAAAAAGGTAGTGGGGACAAACCTGGACCTCTAAGTCCAATCACATACTTTCCACTGGTGCTTTAATTGCTGGCTTTCTCAAAAACAGATTGAGATACAACACTTATTTATGTAAATGCGTTTCTGGTTACTTAAAAAAAAATAAATCAGCGGACAGCCTTCCTCAACATGAAATGACCGAGGGGTCTCCAAGTCCTAGGAGGCTTTTCTGCTAACTTCCTGGGACTAAGACTTTCCAATTTAATAATAACTCATGTTTTCTTACATGTTTTAAGTAAATACATGCATAACTCTCATACACACCCCAAACCACAAACACATTAACAAGGTTTTGCGGACTCAGTTCTGTGCAGAGAATACAGGTGTCTCTTTGCCATGGACCCTCAAGTTGCAGGTGAATTTAATCTAAGTCCTTGTTTCAGAAAGAGCTGTCAGCCAAGATCTCCACCCATGTGGAAGTCAACCACACTATTCAAAGAACCTTCTATCTTCCTCTAAAATAATTTCAGTTGTCTTAATTTGGATTAAACATAATTTGTGACCTGTAACACATTCCCATTATTGGTCCTTATTGGGAGAGTTTTACTTATTTTATACATGTAGTTACTACTTTGAAATCTTGCAGCTACTACCACAAACAAACCAACCAAATGAAGATCACACACTAAGAGACTTGCCTTTGTGGTACCTATACTCTGTGTTCTGGATGACCATTCTTTATTAGACAATTAAATCAGCTGTCCTGTGTTCAATCTGGGGAGGGAAAAAAGTTGGTTTAGATTTTGTAATGATTTAGAGTCAAGCAGAATTAGATACCTATAAAATTGGCTCAAAAATGTTTATTTTAGTCTAGTATTGAACAGTTTTAAATATGATAAACAGCTCTGACTGCATCACCTGATCCAAGAATAAGACCAACAGAAATTACACATATCTGCCAAGATGGGCCTCTATTAAGAAAATGGTTATTTAGTGGGTTATTGGCTGATGCGCACATTTTTCCTTTTTTATTAAGAAAAAACAGCAAACTACAAAAAACTGTCTCAACTACAGACACTAGAGTATTCCGCATGAGAAGATTACAGCCTCCATCTGTTCATTATATTTCCAATAATTGTACTTGTTTAATGGCGAGTAATAATACTGACAATACTTTTTTATTGTACTTTACTAATTATTCCCTAAATAGGCGTGCCGGTCTTCATTTGTGTGTACATCAATCTGCTTACTTATGCGTCCTTTCCCTTGAAGTAATATATTCTACATCTTTAAAATGCAAAAGCCCCAAGGCATCTCCGTGAATTTCCCGACTTCTGCTCTTAGCGTCTCTACAGGAGGTCTCACCGGCTCTCACTCTGTATCGGACCTGAGAGTAACACAGAGGGCTTAATCAAATGTATTAGTTCAGACTCCTCCAAGGACACTCATCATTGATCTGGGTGTGGCTCTCTTTATATCTCTGGTTACTTAACCTTCCCAATGATTGATTCAGCCATTCGTGGATTCACAATAATAATTGCATAATCGATACCCTGCCAAGACAGAAAACTGAGACAAAAGCCTTGAACAGAACCAGAATTTGTTCACTGCTCTCCTCGCTGCAGAGCCAATGGGCTCAATCGCCAAACACGGGAAACCTCTGGCTCGCACATGCACCGCGCTTCTGCCAGTCCTTTCACAGAACTGGGATCCACAAAGCACAGTAACCAACACCATGGACCTACGAATCCGCACACGCTTTATGCGAACTGACCTCTGCTCCTCTCCGGGCGCTCCGCCGAGGCGCGAGCGAGATGCTTCCTAATGAGGGGCCGTAATAAGTCACTGCCGCCGAAGCAGTAAATGCGAAGTTAAACAGCAAAATGCCCTCCGTGGCTTTAGTAATGTCCTCATTAGGGTTTAGATGAATTCATCAAACTTTCTTGTCCCTTGCTATAACAAGTCTATGATTGGCATTCTATAGTTTCATATATTAACAATTTACTGTACTGAAATAATTCAGTGGGTACCCACAAAGAAATGCCATTCAAGCCCAGAATGTGAACTTTGGGGTGTTTACTTACACACATTCGTGACACTGATGCTCCTCAGAATTAGAAAATGATAAAATCTGCTATGTGGTTGGCAGAGGAACAAAAGTCTATTTTTAAAAATATGTCCTTATTGTTTCAAGAACCAAATTACTACAACTTGAAAAACTCCATGTGCATCTTTCGAAAAATAGGAGAGCTCAGAATTTTTCCTAGAATACCTGTCATAGAAAAAACGATGGATCAGCATTGTCATGTTATAACATCTGTCCCTAATTGGTCCACGGTTTGCTGACTTTTAAATAAGTTAAGACATAAAATCATGTCTTTCTTGAAAACAAAGACAATAAATGCTATCCTTTCGCAGGAGCAGGGCACAAGACTTTGAAAGTACCACACATGTCCACAGTCATCACCTCAGAAGAACACACTTCCTTCTTTTTAGTGTTTTCACGACATGGAAAGACTGGATTAAAATTCCCATCATTAGTCTCTGTTCGTCTCTCCATTATGTGGTTGTATACCAATATTTATACGAGTAAATGTATTTCATTTCCTTTATAAAACAGTCAGCAATCCATTACCAACACAAAACTTTTATATACAAATGTCCCTTACCAAAATAGTAAGAGCTTGACTGCTAATGTGTTTGGAGTATTGGATAGGTTGTAATAACAACCCACGGTTCATTGAACTCTTTTATAATAATTACATGATTTGACCTCTTTTTCCATTCATATCTGCCTTTGTTCATAGGCTGATTTTATAAGAAAAGTAAACTCTAGAATGAGGGAGTAACTCAGGAACAGAGGGAAGTTTGGGTTTGACCCATCATACGTACATGCACGCACACACACACACACACACACACACACACACACACACAAATCCATCCAAAAATCCATGAAAGTACAAGGACATGTTAGCATCAGCTCATTCCCCAAAGAAGGAATTATTATGTGTCTTTTGGTAACGAACCTCAGAGATCCATTTGGGTTTAATCAAAATATCCTGTTTCAGATACCCCATGGTACTCATCATGGGTCCAGACACATTTTTCTTCCTTCACTTATTAGGGTGTTCATTCATGAATACATTACAGTCATAAAATTCTAAGAACAAGATTTTCCCGTTGGTTGCTGT